TCTATTAATTGGGATACGATGACATGCATCAACCAAGTCAGCGATCCTGATCACCCGATCCGGTTTGTCGCCTCTTACGACAAGCACAGTCGCCTTTTACGGCAAGCATGGGTTGCTGAAGGCCTATTCTACCCCGGATCTTCACGGGTGCTAATACAAGAGGAATCCCCAGGTCTTACACGTTTAACACATATCTAATCTGGGATTCGAACCCACGACTGGTCAACATTGATCCCCGTGTCGTGAAAGAGAAATCCAGGAGAATACCATACGTGCATGGAATGTGGGATTAGAACCGATTATCTGCGGATCCTAGTTAAGGGATGCAACTCTGCACTTAGAGTCGTTGCCCCTTGGACCACTGTGTTATATGTAGCCCTTTTAATGCATGACAGCGAAGACATTACATGCATTAACGACTGGTGGCCGCATATATTGATGTGATCTGCAATAGTTTAAACTAACAAGCAGTACATATCGGTAATCTATTCGATACACTGTGGTGTTCTGCCCATATAGAAGTACAATGGGTTTATTTGGACAAAAAGTCAACAGCTGTCGAACGATCAATCATGTTAAACGTTGTCATCACGTGATATATATCTGAAACTAGTTGAGGAATCACAGACAGTGGTCAGGACGTCATTACAGAAAACTAACAGTCAATAGTAATCCCATCTTCCCGAGGCAAGGGAATTAACTGACTACAAAAGTCCAGTTTCCACTCTTGCCGAACTAGGCTGGATTTATGGAGTTACAGTTTGGCTCGACTAACGAGTCTATGCATAGTCCAATCGAAATCGCGCAACGAAATCGAAATACGGTTTGTAAACTTTCCGGTTCGGTCGATTGCAGGATTTAAAAAACACGTGCACCGCCAACTCGTTGTCAACGGATATTATCCTAATCTTTTCATGTTTTCAATTCAGATGCTCACGTGATTTGATGGACTTTGCGATGTAAGACCCGTTTTATCACAATATAGATGTTGATTATCGATCAGATCGTCTTGACTGGGCGCCGCCATTTTGTTTAAAGCAAAATTCAAGTGACACGAGAGGTAGAATCTGGGTAGAAACTGGACTTTTAAAGTCAGTTAACTCCCTTGCCTCGGGAAGATGTAGTAATCCTTGAGTATTTAAAATTACAGAATGCCATTCTGCCCGTTTACAGTGTTGATGACCCGGTGGGGATTCCGGGTTAGAATTGATCCCTAACAACCTATGCTGGTCGTTACCCGGGAAGATACTGTCATTATATAAATCACACGTCTTCAACAACATCTGTGAACACTCCATAATACCCGTGAAGATCCAGATTAAAATAGGTCTTCAGCAACCAAAGCTAGCCCAAAAAGGCGACTATACTTGTCGTAAGAGGCGACTAGTGGGATCGGGTGGTCAGGCTCGCTGATTTGGTTGATGTCTGTCATCGTACCCCAACTCCATAAAACGATGCCCACAATATCAATCACTGGATTGTCTGGTCTAGACGTGATTATTTATAGTTCGCCGTCATATAGATGGAATATTGCTGAGTGCGGGGATAAACAACAAATACACACGCACGCACACACGTACTGACAGTGTTGATGTGGTATAATACAAGGCACACGCAAGTAAAAGCTATGTATGCAAGAAATGCACGTGCAACGCCTGGATACTTGACCTATGCTTTAATCGACGTCTGAAACATTCAATCAGTACAATCAAGACAAACAGACATTAGTTAGTCCCCTTGATGTCCCATCCTCCATTACCTAGTGCCCCTCACGCTAAAAAAAACCTTGTCTTAAAAAGGACCTTCTTTCGATATACAGTTGAATGTGGTAAAAGTAGGGATATTTCTCTTTAGATCAAAGCTTCAAGCCGGGAAATAATGTCTCATCAAAGAGATACGGCGCATTGGTCCTATCATGACGAGGAATCAGACACCCACGGGCCCGCCCGACCCCCTAATGTTTTACCCTGGGGGTGGGGATATCAGTGGCTTAGCTCGGTTATGGCTCGGCGGTTCGTCTTTTGTTGTTTTCGGAAACATTCAGCTGCCACGTGAATTACCTGGTCCGATCATATTTGTAGGAAAGCCCCCAATATTGATTAAACGTATTACCGATAAAGTATTACCCATACAGAAAGTGTTCAGTGACTATGGTTCTTTAAAGCGCTGACCATTTCTTCCTAGTTATATTGTCCTACACTGGGCCTCACTAAGGCCATGGCTTTAAGGCGCCACCCGCATCAGCATCAGCATCCTGGGAAAGTATTTAATTTCTTTTTTAGGACAAACATAGATAAATGACAGCCGGAAATCGACCTCTTACACTGAACAAAAACGAAACCGCCTCTGAAAGCAATGTTTCAAAAGTCATTGTCAGAACAAATTGAGTATTTTTATAAAATGTGAAAAAGCAATTTCCCCCTGTATAAACTATGAGAGCGGTAACACTCAATTACTTTAGTGCCAAGCATCCTACAAGTTAAGTCCATTATGTAATTGAAATTCATATGGACATGTCAAATTTTTCAATTTTGAAAATCCGTGTAAGATGAATACCCAAAGTCCCACCATCCCCATCACGGTTTATTCAGTTAAGAAGTCGACACAGTAAGGAGGGATACACGTCAGCTGATTGGACACCGTTGGTTGGACGCCACGTCACGGGCAGCGTGATCTATGCATGGGAGTGGAGCACCGTGGCACAGTGCTGGCTGTGTACATCGGTGTTTATATCCAAAGAGGAAATTGCCAATATCTGATCCCGTACGTGTTCCGATGGCTGTCTCCAAGCTTTGTCGAATCCCACAGTGTGACTCCATAATCTAATGTCATTTGGGAAGGGGAGCGAATTGCCCTAGGAACTCGCTATGATCTCGTTCGGATGTGACTTGACGTGACTCCAATACGTTGCTTCGTGTTTATGTTCAAACACCATCTTAGTTTTATGATTGAAGTTAATTCTGTTATTATCAGCTGTATTTACACACTGACTGGTCCATGCTGCAACTCCCTGCTGAAACCATGAACACCGTATCATCTTGTACTATGAACACCGTATCATCTTGTACCACCATGAACCAACAGTGTATCATCTTGTACCATGAACACTGTATCATCTTGTACCATGAACACCGTATCATCTTGTACCATGAACACTGTATCATCTTGTACCATGAACACTGTATCATCTTGTACCAGGAACATCGTATCATCTTGTACCACCATGAACCAACAGTGTATCATCTTGTACCATGAACACCGTATCATCTTGTACCACCATGATCCAATAGTGTATCATCTTGTACCATGAACACTGTATCATCTTGTACTATGAACACCGTATCATCTTGTACCACCATAAACCGACATTGTATCATCTTGGACCATGAACACTGTATCATTTTGTACCATGGACACCGTATCATCTTGTACCATCATAAACCGACATTGTATTATCTTGGACCATGAACACTGTATCATCGTGTACCATGAACACCGTATCATATTGTACCATGAACCAACAGTGTAGCATCTTGCACCAGGAACCAACAGTGTATCATCTTGCACCATGAACACCGTATCATCTTGTACCAGGAACACCGTATCGTCTTGTACCAGGAACACTGTATCATTTTGTCCCAGGTACACCGTATCATCTTGTATCATGAACACCGTATCATCTTGTACCAGGAACACTGTATCATCTTGCACCATGAACACCGTATCATCTTGTACCATGAACACCGTATCATCTTGTACCATGAACACTGTATCATCTTGTACCATGAACACCGTATCATCTTGTACCAGGAACACCGTATCGTCTTGTACCAGGAACACTGTATCATTTTGTCCCAGGTACACCGTATCATCTTGTATCATGAACACCGTATCATCTTGTACCAGGAACACTGTATCATCTTGCACCATGAACACCGTATCATCTTGTACCATGAACACCGTATCATCTTGTACCATGAACACTGTATCATCTTGTACCATGAACACCGTATCATCTTGTACCATGAACCAACAGTGTAGCATCTTGCACCAGGAACCAACAGTGTATCATCTTGCACCATGCACACCGTATCATATTGTACCAGGAACACCGTATCGTCTTGTACCAGGAACACTGTATCATTTTGTCCCAGGTACACCGTATCATCTTGTATCATGAACACTGTATCATGTTGTACCAGGAATACCGTATCATCTTGTGCCAGGAACACTGTATCATCTTGTACCATGAACCAACAGTGTATCATCTTGTACCACGAACACTTTAACATCTTGTACCATGAAGCAACAGTGTATCATCTTGTGTCATTTACACTGTATCATCTTGTACCACGAAAACTGTATCATCTTGTACCAAAGAATGCTGTATCATCTTGTACCATGAACCAACAGTGTATCATCTTGTATCACGAAGAAGCATGGTATGATCTTCTACCATGAACCAACATTGTACCATCTTGTACCAAGAACCAACATTGTATCACCTTGTACCATGAACCAACATTGTATCATCTTGTTCCATGAACCAACATTGTATCACCTTGTACCATGAACCAACATTGTAGCATCTTGTATCATGAACCAACATTGTATCATTTTGTTCTATGAACCAACATTGTATCATCTTGTTCCATGAACCAACATTGCAGCATCTTGTACCACGAAGAGGCATTGTAGCATCTTGTATCATGAACCAACATTGTATCATTTTGTTCTATGAACCAACGTTGTATAATTGTGTTCTTTATTCATGAATACGTGTGCAAGGATTGGTGGCAATTACAAATATGAAATTCATATGAAATTCAGGCATAAAGAAACTGATACAAACTTCATGGTGTTTATAATAGCAGACAAGCTATTGAAAATCGAAAAAAAATATCTCACTCTGATTATTTGAGTGCTTAAACAATTTCTCCAGTCAATATTGTCCCAATTCAACTCCGCTAAGCTGGGCTGTGGCGATATCCCGATGGCGTATGACTATTCCTGACCAGAAACATTTGACGGTCAACTGTACCCGTCCACGTTGCCGTGTGTACCAAGCTCCACTCAATACGAGACAACTGCTGGACCGCCGTGTGTACCAAGCTCCACTCAATTCGAGACAACTGCTGGACCGCCGTGTGTACCAAGCTCCAGTCAATACGAGACAACTGCTGGACCGCCGTGTGTACCAAGCTCCACTCAATACGAGACAACTGCTGGACCGCCGTGTGTACCAAGCTCCACTCAATACGAGACAACTGCTGGACCGCCGTGTGTACCAAGCTCCACTCAATACGAGACAACTGCTGGACCGCCGTGTGTACCAAGCTCCACTCAATACGAGACAACTGCTGGACCGCCGTGTGTACCAAGGTCCACTCAATACAAGACAACTGCTGGACCGCCGTGTGTACCAAGCTCAACTCAATACAAGACAACTGCTGGACCGCCGTGTGTACCAAGCTCCACTCAATACGAGACAACTGCTGGACCGCCGTGTGTACCAAGCTCCACTCAATACGAGACAACTGCTGGACCGCCGTGTGTACCAAGCTCCACTCAATACGAGACAACTGCTGGACCGCCGTGTGTACCAAGCTCCACTCAATACAAGACAACTGCTGGACCCAGAACACCATGGAAGCGACAGAGGGGGATACGAACCAGGACACGTCTTCTGATCAGGAGAAAGTATATTTGCTTGGTCCTGTGGCCCGCAGACTAATAGGATGATGGACTGATATTGGTTTGCGAGTCCCGGAAGTAGTGTAAATATGTAAATACAAGCCTTTGGGGAGTGTATAAATATATAGCGATTACATGGTCAAGGCCCGCATGAAGTCCACACTGTCGAATGCTCACATAAATGTATCCTTATCATAACGGTATCTACATTCTATAATCTGCGCAGATGAATCACGTCTGGCCTTGCCGCGCCCGCCCGTGTGCGACGTGTAATCATTTCAATTAAATGGAACGTTTATCCCCATGTTGTTACATCATAACATTTGTTTTTACTGCATAAATCAATATGATGGTAGCATCCTTGACAGAACGCCTTGCAATGGTCATTAACACCCTACCTTCATGCATAGAATCCTCGTATACTGTTGCTTACCCAAGTGCCTCCATTGGTCAATGTTATATTATTCATGTAATCGCTATCCCCCCACCCCAATCTCACAGTTAAGCCATCTACTACTCATCACCCTCTCGATCCCCATCCCGATCGCTAACCACCTAGATATTCAGATTTTAGGCTCAGCGAGGTTCCTCTTTAAACCAATTCCGCTGCCGCAGTCTCGAGACGGATGTCTATTAAGTCAGAAAACCGGAAATATTCTTAGCAAGGAGCTAGCGAAAACTTGGTTACATGTGTTAACTGTTTACAGAAAGGGGCGAGTACGGAGCGCCATTGATCCCGCGACGACCAACAGTAATTACAATGCGTTAGGAAAATACTACCAACATAAGATAGCTTTGCTCAACTGCGCAGCCCTACAAAGACTCCCGAGGCTAAGTCAACAACACGGAGAGACAACGAAAGCACCCCCAGCGGTAATTTAGCGATATGCGACTTACCCTAGCTGGAATATTGAAACCATTGTCGACTGTCAAAGGGCCCAAGAGCGATGGCTTTAATACAATGTTTTTCTTGAACCCCATATTAAATTTACGCCAAGGATTGTGGTTTAGCTGAAAATGCAATTTTGACGAAGTGTGTGCTTCCCTTTCGCCCTCTTCAACTTCTTCAGCGGTAATTTTGCTCAAACAAACCTAACGGGGCTTTGTGAGGAGAGCTGGTCCAATAGTGTGAGCGGTGGACACAATGCTGAGATAGGGGCAGACAGTGTTGTAATAAAATTGAGCTCATTTTATTCAGCTATGCTGACAAAAGGTCAACACATTTTAAGGAAGAGGTACGGCCAAACTGAAACAGCCCTGGGTCTAAGCATAGAAACTGATGCTTATATTCCTATACGACTAACGGTGTCTCAAAGACGTTGTCAAAGTGCTCTTAACGTATTTAAAAACAAGTTTCCAAATATTTTTTTCAGATCTATTTTGGGACATTCTTTATGAGCACTTGAATAATAGCTTAGTTCTACCGACGGCATGATATCTATTAGGCGGACAGTGAATTTGGCATTGGATGGACCCATTTACGGAATTAGGCTAAGATGACCCAGCTGACCCCAGTTTTCCATACACACAGAGAATCTCACTAAAGTGTCCTTTTTTATCAAATAATACCAACTGAGTCGCTAAACGATTCAGTTTGTAATCAGTGTAGTGTGTGTAAAACGTACAGCTACCAGCTTTAGTGGCCGAGAGATTAGTGATGTCATTTGACTGTGACGTCATGGTAACCGACGATGTCACAATGGTCTTTAAAGCATTGTAATGCAATTTATTTTTCCCCACAGAAGCGATATCTCCCTTGGAAGCCAGTTTTGGGTGATAAATGGAGAATAATACATTCCTTCTCGTCAGATATTATTTTCACAAAATGAGTGGACTTTCTATGTTATCTGAACGAGCGAAAGTAAGTTAGACCTTTTGAGACGAGTTGTGAAAAACATGCCAGTATCTGGCAGGCACGAGTGCAGTAATCTGTTTCTTACACACCCTAACGTCGCACCATGTAGCATCGAATCGATGCATGTGTTGTTTATTCTCATTCAGTGGCGCATTGATACATAACACAGCGTTAACGAGTGACGTCATCCGGTTTACTGTTCAATGCTGATACCTAGTGTGACCCTCATCAGTTATATCTGTGGGTTATGAAGGCGATAAGATCTAGATAAGACCAAGGAACATTTATCAAACACATTAAATCCACAAAGCTTCGACAAAGTCGTAGAAACGTTTCAATGAATTGCAATCAAGAAAGTAGTCCGTCTGAATCTGACCTCAGATCATCACCACGAAGTAGCCAATCACAGCCTTCGAATTCCATCTGGCAGAAGTTCGATAACATATGTTCTTTTGATATTTTCTACACCATCAGAACACTCAACACATTCGGTCATACACCGTCACAGTACAACCACCACACCACACCACACCACACGCCCTTCAATTCCACCACCATCAGATTGCACAACAGAGTGGGCCCACTTCCAACCCTTCTTGCCCATCCAGGTTCCCATCGGTTCACTCAACACAGTGGGCCACACACCATCACAGTACAACGCCACCACCCCACTCTCCAATTCCCTCACCCCTATTTTGACCACCATCAGACCACTCAACACAATGGGCCGCACACCGTCAGTTTACCTTTCCCCACCCTTTTATCGTAAATCATCAATAACGCTGATTGGCCCAGACAGATAGCAACAACGCGTGAACTTGCATCGGTTGTCAGCGCTCATTAAACCACCGTTTGGCAGAATTAGCCACAAATGCCCAATAACAATTTACGCTAAGGTAAAAAAATCAAAGGTCTGTGGCAAAAATGTAAATTTGCCACCTGCTATATCGGCAATAAAGTGTCACAAAATGGACGCTAGAGATCACCAGTGTTCGATATGCAAGCCTTATATGGAATTAGTCTTTTTTCCCATGGGGAACATTGACATGCCCTACACTGAACGGGTTAATCATACCCACAGCTGATTCCATATGATTCCATTTTGGAAATAATATGTTTCGCTCTTAACGAGGTATAAAATATCATTAGCGATGCCCGTCAATACTGCTGGCCAAATGACACCATGGCGAGGGGTGTGTTCCATCCTTAATATTGTCCGCTCCTCCCCCAGTAGAGGGCGCTTCAACTTCCTCCACCAATCGCTCCACAATTACAGACATCAAAGACACCGCTGGGACGTATTATCTCGATTATCCAGTGATTATAAAAGAGTCCGCCATCAATAAAAGCCAAATATTTTTTTTATCTGATCTTTATATTTCGTGACATTTAGAAACAGAGCCGAGCCGAGGCTGACCCGCGACATTCACGTATGGGTTTGTCAATATTTTACAACTATCATTTTCAATATTGGACTGACTATACGTCACTCTCGCTTAAGCTTTATTTGTTCTTAAAATTAAAGTCAATAATTTGTGTGACTATGAAGGATTAACGCTTTTATTGTTGTCATTTTAACTGAATTAAAGAAGTTCTAGGTATCAAGTCGCATTAAATAATATCCGGCATTTGAAATACTACTCCTCATTGGCTTCTATCGTAGGTTTCGTTATCATTATTCATAGGGAAACATTCTGTGTAAGCATCATGCAGAGAATCTCTCTGTGATAGTGAGATAATTCCTTCACTATAAAACAAAATTATCCTGATTAAATCATGAAGATTCAGATAACAATTCAAGAATCCAACGTATTTAGTTGAACAAAGCAAAACCATTCAAACCTAACAACAGCTTAACTTGCAGGAAAATATGAATTAATTCAGATATCAACGTTCTTCATAGTGATTGAATTAAAATAAAATTCAAAATAAACCTTTCTGGTATAATAGGTTCACAGTCTCACAAGACCTGGTAATTAGCCTAAAATTAACCAATATTCTCAAATTGAACTTCAAGGTTATTTACTAGAAACACTACCAAAGCTAATCATCTCCAAGTCGCGTTTAATTCGACAGTGTGTCACGTGACTTCCTCATTTCCGTCTCGCGCCAGATCTCGTGTCGCGAGGCCAGGAGAAAACGTGCTACCCCGGTGTGTTGATCAGATCCGTAGGAAATTACTGTCACTAAGTCAGGGCTGCCAGATTCCCCAAAGAGAGATCGGATTTCTTAAAGTCGTTAGACGAATTAAAATTTTCAAAAACCTTGCGCGACCCTTTTCCCGCTCGTTCTGTAAGCGGGAAATAAGTGGAGTGTGGCGGGCGTGGAAAGTGTGACTTTTCACGATTTTTATCAACGTGCTAGCCTTCTAGTCTGGACTTCAGCTCCGATTTTTATCATTTAATATTCACATTGGTTAATTTTCAGGTTTTGAGGGGACCGCTTTTGACGATAACTTAATTGTAAATTAGATTGAGTAATTAAATCTCAGACTGACTTAATTGCGGCCCATCATAGGTTTACCTCGACCATCATCCCTGATAGACTACACGGCTTCAAAGCGACGAATTGGTCAAAACAGCTCGTTATTTAGCGACCACGTCTAACCTTCCATAAGAGAGGACTTTAAATAGTTGTTATAAAAAACTTTGCCCATCACGAATGTTGCCAGGAAACTTTCCCTGTAAATTATTAATTTACTCCCATCACACACATATGTTTGTATGAATGATGTTTGGACTCGAGATTCCACCCCTCAACATTTACACCTGGGCCCCACTTGGGGTTAATGGGGGCTGGGAAATGGGTCCTAGATGGGTAGCCCTTCTGGGCCCCGTTCGGATTCGTCCAAGAGGGTTCCAACAGGGTCCTACATTGGCATACACCTTATAGTCCATATGAGACCCAGGCTGATTGTCTGTGAAAGCGTTTATGTGTTTTTTCTCTGCATATCACATTCAAGCATTTTCTGGCATCACTACCTTATACATTCACTTGTGTATAAATGTATATGTAAACAGAATTATATATATCGTATATATGCCATATTTCATGTATCTACGAGATTAAAAATTAGGATTGAACCCTTTCTATAATTACTGCGCGGGTCACTTTTAAAATTATTTATAATATGTAACGTTT